ATCAAAGCAGAGGAACATGGCAGTTAGGCAAGAAAGCACACAGTGGTTCTACTTCATCTGCGTTGCGCTCGACAACGGATAGCTCGAATTCAAATCATCCGAGACATACTGCCAACACAGAGTCTCGTGATACACTTAGTACAGTTGAGCGAAGTTCACACTCTATTACGGACTTGGCATCTTCCGTCAAACTTACTCCGGGATCAAAGTCACGTTTACAGCAATTACAGCAACATTATCAGCGGCGACATCATTTACAACAGATGCAACCTAAGAGTCAATCAGTTCCATCCCCTGATGTTCCGGCTCCTGTTTCTTCATTATCAGAAACTGCACTACAGTCTCAACCTCTAGATCAGACACCCGAGAAAACTACGTGATAAAGTGAGCTGCCCATTTTTCATTCACCAAGCTTCACAGTGGTCGTCATAGTGAAATAGCGCATTTTCTTTTATCATTTGCACTAGATCGCCATCAAATGTTCACACTTATTTACTATAGTTTATGGATAAATCAGATAATATTGGGTCGTCCTAAATTGGCATTTCAAATTTATCATTTCAATGCTTCGTAGACTCCTGATGTTAATGAATCACTAGTCAAATAGGTGGCAGATATGAGTGTTTGTGTTGTCATGTTCGGAGTTCGTTTTTCGCCTTCAGAATGTTGACTTTGTTACAGGATTGGTTTGACCCAATTCCTGACATTCTAGCAAAGGAATCACTAAATGCGGTTGGGGACATCTCTTTGTGAACAACTTCCGGATAAAGCGTCGGCATATATCCAAAAGTGTTCTTTTGGCGTTTGTCAAATTACGGCACCTTTGGCGTCGCTGCAGTATCCGAGTGCCTTTGAAGAGCATAAAGACTGCATTTCACTGTGTCACGACGGGTGATGGTTGCTGAGGCAGGTAGCGATTGGAAAAAGATCGAGGGCGGTCAAACAAAGACCCGGCATGAGTGTATGAAAACCCTAACCAGGAAACTGGGTCACATAGGTCCCGTTAGGCTCCCTGGCTGGGTACCCCGAGGTCTTAGTCACCGATGGTTAAAGGCACTGAGTGATATGACTAGATGTCGCAGTATATATATATATATATATATATATATATCACATCTGACGCTAGACGGTGTGCCAAGCAAATCATGGTACAGTAATCTTTATGAAAAAGAATAACGTTTCATGATTGGCTTGTGGGCTGAATACTACCAGGTTGCCCAGGCCAAGGCAGGTGAATTTTCTTGAGGAATGCATAACCGGAGTCTTCGGCCTGACCCGCAAGATAGCGGGGCGGTGTGAAAACCGTACTTCTTTGGGAGCCGGTGTCCTGTTCATCGGATCATTCGCCCTTTGGACGGGGTCAAACGTCCAAGGTGCCTAGTACACCTCAATGCCCAAATGAGCCGGTGACCACTGCCACAACCGGGAAGGTGTGTGTGGTTCGTACACCTCATGGTTGGTTTGGAATCAGGGTGTTTGGCTAACCCCCCTAGGTAAACTACCAGTGGTCCACCAACCCGGTTATAGCCCCG